AATAAGGATGGAAAACAAGGTATAGAATTTAGATATCTGTAATGTAAACATTGATCGTACCAAAAGGCGAAATGTTTTGTGGGAACACTTTGCTTTTACTGTATTTGCGCCAATGTTCGAATGATGGCGCGCATATTGGTTGTGCCCTTGCCGCACGTTTGTTGTACAATACATCTGGCTATTAAAATGATATGATTGCCAAAAGTGTGAGAATTTCCAAGAAATAAAATTATGTTAGTTAAATTTTTGACGCTGATGCAACCAAAACGGCTAGGTATACCTGACGATAATAAGAATAAAGTCTAACAATGTAGCTTTTTAGTTATGACAGCAGGCCTGTTCACTACCTCTCCTGGTCTAATACAAATTCTGGACTCCGTAGACAGACTGATATGTCATAGAAGAACAACAGCACAATTTAATAAATCTAATATGTTCAATATCACAAATTCAAGCAAAGATTAAACACCAAAGACGACAACGAAATTGAATATTTAGTGCCTAATGTACAAATATATCCAATATTTAAAAGTTACGAATAGTACAAGAAAATTTCACAGCACAAGGAGGTACAGTAACTCGTGAACTCAAGCAAAAAGCTGTAAGTGCGAGTAGTAACGGACCTTACCAACTTGGCTGGATTTAATAACGTTACTGCCCTATAAGGAAACACGCGATTCTGAGACTAACGCTCTTGTCGGTCAAGTTAGTAAGAAACTACGAGTGAGACAAGTTTCAAAGTTATAAGAAAAGAGGAACGTGGTAAAGATTAATGACTTAAGTTTAGGTGGCAGGAGAGATTTTATGATTCCATCAAACACAAATTAACTAATAATGATCAAAGCCCCTAAATAAATAAAGAGTGTAAAAAAGTAAGAGAGAGCCCAAAGACATGATATTACAGATAAACAATAAGGTGCAACACAAGTCGAATACGTCCTTATAATTTATATTGCATGCCATGCGTATTTTGTGTATGTTAAAATGGTATGGATTTTTCTTGCATAAACTGAACAACACAGATTCCATTAAAATTAAACATGAATATGAACAAAACATAATATTAACATTAGTGGCATAGTTTTAGCAAAACTGGCCAATGATATAAAGTAAATATGAAGAACTGGATATGAAAATAACTCTACGTGCAACCTGTCCAATTAAATAGGTAATGTAAGCAGTATCGATTACAAACCACACTGGATAAATTATAATGTGAAAGCAAACTCTACAATATTAGAAGCACTTTTGTACATACGTAGGGCGCATAGTAATACAAGCTATGTTTAAAAATATATTTGAAAATCAATTCATAACTAGAAGCAAAACCATTTAAAAAAGTGAAAATCGTAAGACACTACTGAACAATATTTATAACATACATTACTAGATAAAAATACTGAAGGCTAAAAAACAGATATTTTGTAGTTCTACTATAAAGGGAACAAAACATTAATCACGAGAACGAATAAAGACCATCTCGACAACAATAAACACGATAATGTTGAATTTTTACTACTATTATTTTGGACTGTAAAGAGAAACATTAAAGTCACAACAGCGAAAACATTTTCCAAGATATTAGTCATTGAACACGGGTAACGTTCCAAAAACTATTGTTTCGACAGTTCGCTCGACATACGAATCGCATATTGTTAGCGCTATTTCTAGAATAGTTAGTGTTACCTACCGTTCACTTTATGGCCGACTTTTTGTGAGCAAATAAAATGTTAAGAAAGCGTTCGTGTTCTGGTTGCGAATAATTTAAAATCTGTGTTAGAGTTCCTAGAAGAGATTTACACAACATTTGGGTTAAACGGGATTCGGGATGGGTTGCAAACACTTACATCACACCGCGACAATATTAACATGCATTAGCGAGTTTAGAGGTTGTAAACAAATTTTTGGAAACCAGTTGTAAGATGTCGAAAACGATAGTGCTAATTCTACATGCTATGGTATTGTATAAATAGAACGTAGAGAAAAAAGATCTAATGTTGTTTCTCTGAAAACGAACTAAATGATAATAATCTTACGCGTATATGTAACAGTTTGGTATCTAAACAAGGATATCAATTTCTCGTACATGAAGCATTCTGAAGTTTCCAGACTGAATTACGGAAATTTAATATTGTGTAAATTAAAACAAACATCCGTTGTACATAATCAAAGTAAGCAAACATTGAGCCCCAGATTTCGCTCTATCTTAAAACAGATTAAGCTTTGAGTATTTCTCGTTCAATAAGCGAAACGTCTATCGTCGTTAGAGCATTTACCTTCTCATACACGACGTAACCAACCGACGTCTCGGCTCGTTTGATCGACAATCAATATCATTCAGCGTTCAATTTATCTCAAGATTTACGTCCACATTGTTGGATTCCTGACAATTATCCAGATGATCTATGGTAAGGAAATCCTGTGATGACGAGCCATGAATATTCATGTACGACTAGGAAATTCATGTGTCTTGGTCTGTGTTTATCTCTATGTGTAAGATCAACTTACCACGGTTGGTATTGCTACCAGGAACTTCATTTGTTCATCCAGTCTTATACTTGTGTATTCTAAAAGTTCTCAGTATTAAGTTAAACTAACACAACCAGACGTTTCGTTACAGATCAAGTAAGTAACTATTTAAAATTATAATAAAAATCTGACATTGATTTACTACCACATTGTTACTGCCAATTAAACTAGAATAATCTATGGCAGGGGAAACCTCTTAGCGCCAAGTAATGAATATTCACTATAGGACGTGCTTCAGAACAGATAATAAGACTGGACATACGGTAATGATAATGGCATCTTATAATGGTTTACAGGAGATATTTATGCCATCGGATGATGTAAGCTGTAAGAGATAAGCAAATAGTACCGTAACACGTATTTCATTTATTAGATATATTTAACAATATGTTAACTATAGTTGTTTTAACAATGAGGAAATAACGTACTCTGCACAAAAATATTGTCTCTTATTTATAACATTCGAAAAACATTTATGTTTCTTTTTTATTTCATATAGCCTCATGCTTGTGCATAATCTCACTTGACGAAAAATGAAGAATGAAGGTATAAGTTCACTAAGAAAAAGCGCATCACTCTGACTTCAGAGATCTCCAAGTTGTATAATTCGAGAAAACACGCATAGACCATTAAGTCCCTTCAATAGAAATGGCCGTAATAAAGGATGTCAGTCCTTGAGATTTTCAACTACCTTATTTCACAATGACGCATATAAAACAGGCACATACTTCGCCAGTATTATTTTACCTAAACTTCAGTAATTTAATTAGATGTACACGATAAACCACGGATAAAATCAATTAAACACTATCTGCCCACAATTACAAATTACCATAATGATTAGTTGAAATTGATTATGTATGTATATTTTAATCAAGTTTGTGAGTGAATAAATGAGAAGAGTAGATTCATAAGGCTGCAAAAGCTCTGCGTTAGTGACCATATATGGAAAGACGTGAATGGCGCCAACAAGCGGACGCTAACAGTTGGAGACATATTTAAATGATGATAATTGATCATTATCTGATGGTTCAAGGTAAACTGGAAATAAAAATAAGTATTCTCTTAGAAGACCTGCAATTAATGAGAAAAGTATGTTATAAATAGAATATTATATATTAAGTATAGATGAAAACAAAATAATAAGCTTAAGGAAGATATAATAAAAAGCTTTGATTATAATTGAACTATGGATATTTCGTTATTATATATTACTGTTAATGTCGAGAAATATGAAAATTCTTTTAGATTACAAGAACAGTTACAGCAATTGCATGTAGTTGTTCTCGTACGAATGCATGTTCATTGTGTATAAGCTGTGATAAAAAAAAATCATGCTACAACATCTTCAACTACAGATTAGAATGGGCCAATTTAGTATCGAACTAATCCTTCAAGATTACATTTCGCAGGTTATCGACCGGTTTCAAATGAAACGTGATCAAAAAGCACACAACTCTTGTTCAACTCGATAATTTTATATCCAAATGACGTAGACTTATACACTGCCAAACTTTCAAACACCTACGAGCAATATTTTTATCGATTAAAAACTTGGCAATCGAACAGCGATACTATTCAATTTTATTAAATGAATCATAGGGTTCATTGAACTGCTCCTAATAAGGGAGGGTCGTGATGTTTTGCAAATGAAGTTGAATGGTGAATGAATAGGAACTATCATTGAGAAATCTATACTTACTCGATTGCCCTGACATAAGCCACCAAATGTAGCTTGAATACCTTTCTATTTCTAAATTAGGTACATACCAAAGGGTTCATTGGTCACACAGAAAATGTTTATCTATATATTTGATATAATATAACCGAAGATCTCAACGATAATCCTAATGCCTCATTGAACATAGCAATCAGAATAATTAGAAAAGCAAATGGCTAGAATAAAGCACACAAAGATCGGCTGCCCGAAGTGTTTACACTTACAATATCAACAGCATCGAAAAACTTGACAGGTGAATAATTAATCATCATACAAGTAAACAATTTAATGTTCTTGACAATTAGTTAACAAAAAATAATCTAGTATTGGGTTTGCTAGGAATAAGGTACCTCAACAAGGAGGACATGCCGTAAACAGACAGACAGACACAAGGACACGTTGTTACCCATCTTCTTGGAGAATAAAAATCCTACAGAATTTATGTATATAACACCAAAAGATATAAGAGTGGAATCGGGTATAAATGATTTTAAAATAAAATGTAGAAAGCCAGCTGTGGATTTTGGAGCAAAAAGAAGATTTCTAGAAACGCTTTTATAGCACGATAGAAAATAAATTAAAACTTCTCCAACACGTCGATCCGTGAGTTCTGCTAAGCTATTAAGTTTAAAACGATACAATATTAATTGCACTTTCTCGGAACGTTAGATTGATTTTGAACACGCGGAAGAGTTTATGGGTTCAATCTTATAGTATTCATAATTTAAAACATTTCGAATATTATACTTACATCTGGATGTTCTTTGACTGGCACGTATACTTTTTCTGTAAGTGTGGTGACCATCCCTTCTGGCTCTGGTAGAACGAGTGGTTCCTTTTTGACTCCGTTTATTTGGAATAAACTCGCTCGCACTTTTGCTATTTCTGTAAAGAAAGAAACATATTTGTTAATACTACGAACATCTATTCAAATAAATTCTGAAGATTCAAGATAGGATGTGTCATATTTAGTCGTGATAATTTTAGAATCCTGCCCAAGCGTATACGTTTGGGGGACAAAAATTAAATTAATATGCCTTTGAAAATGTACTTTTTTAACTTTACGTGATTCAATTACACCGAAATCGTTCATAGAAATCTGCAGTATTCATATAAGCGATAGCGCAAATTTGTACGGTGATCAAGAGGTTCTATTTAACGACTTCTGCCTGTAGTACAAGCTTTTGATTTAGTATCACTTCTAGATTTTAGGTGTGACGAGATGTTAATTAACGCGTAATTTACTCTTTTCCTAGATCATTGGCTACGGCTGTAATAATAAGTAAAATATGTATGTAGTTCACAATGCTATTTAGTATTCTGAACTTTAGACACTCGATTTGAGTGCAGCACTGCAGTTAATTTTACTGTTATACGACCCATAGTTAGACTGAAGGCTGTAGTAGTACTCGAGAATCTGTTATGACATCATTTGACAGGTATTATCGATAGATCATAGGTTGCACCTCTAATGACATGACGCATGTCATCCACTGGCCCCCCCGGGTAGAATCGCTGATGCAATATTTTATTTTGATAGGCTGATGCGTGTGAATTTTAGATCTTAACAAAGTTGTCGTAATTGTTTCTACCTTGCGAACCAACTGGTGTGATTAATGACATATTGTTTACAAAATTCATATATTAGGCTAATTAGAAAAAAATCTTATTCTTATGATATTTAACAACTTTGTGTCGACAAGATTATTTTAGATCTATGAGTAATACGGATATTGTACAGGCAGTTAAAAAAGGATGCAAGAAAAAAAGGCACTTGTGAATGCGTCACCTTATTCCAAGTATCATGGTAGTGCCATGTGATTGGCAATCCCTTATTACAAGTTTTGAGGGAAAAATTCCTCCTTGCTTAGCGTCGCGTCTTATCCAAACACAGGATTTCGTTTTATCTTTCTCAACAAGATAACGTCTCTGAGTCATGACCCGAAATCTGTAGTGCGCCATTGGTGCGACCATCTGTTTTTGTGATTTGCATAAAAAATATGTCAGAACAAACAACCGCCTATATTGTATCACCCACTACATTTAAATTAAAGATACTTAATCTCCTCTTTCATTGGGAAACCAATTCCTTATTTACATTTTTTAACTTATCTCTTTAACAATTATTTATTTCAGATCCGAAGATATAAATTTATATCCACTACTTGATACAGTAAAGCAGCATGTTTTGATGTACTCCCGCCGTTGATGCTCGCCATTCCAGGAATCTCAGCGATTTCATGGTTGCTGAAGACTTCTAAAATTGATTTCAGTGCTACTTGTTTGGTATCCGCTGCATAATATGCATCGTATTTCGAGAAAGTCTAAGAAAAGCCACAAAGAAAATCGCACAACAGATCTGATTTCTTTAGACAACCCAGGCCTAAAGCCTTTGTTTCTTCAATAACATTTAAATAGCTTGATTCTGTTAGACGGGCAGTATGGAATTCGTCAGTCCTTTTATCTCTCACGGCATCAAACTCACATACACGCAGTGACCAGTCCAATGGGTCCCTGCGACAATGCCGCGCTTTCACGCCTTATAAGGGCGAGCCAAGTAAACAAGCCGTTACCCTGCGATAGCCCACGGATTATGCACTTAATTGCTACCTTCTTCTGCATATTGATGACCCTCAAGAACTTTTTTCGTAAGTAGGCTAAGATGAAATTCGCAAAGGTGAAAGTTTTTCTCGATGTTGTTGTTTCCCTTTTTATATTGAACCGTGATTTCTTTATACCTTCAAATTAACTTCGGATCTGTACCCGTTACTATAATTATATTTACTTAAATCATATCTGTATGCGCTGACAGTAATTATAGTATATCTATTAACTTCATTAAATTCTATTAAAATTTTCCTTAATGAACGTCCATCAGTATCTATGGTCAGTACAGGTACTTAGAACTATATTCACGATCTTGTCCATTCTGTCAACCTTCGTCAACACCTATAATATGTATCGTTACTTCAACAGCCTGATGGTCATATAAGGTCGTATTAAAAGCAAATTGTTCAAAAATGCCTTTTCAGAACACGTCACTGACGTGTGTCGTAACACTTGTAACGGACACTTAAATAATGCTGCTGGCTTTGTGCTGGTAAATGAATGTTCCAAACAAAAACAAAGAGTACATAATAGAGGCTGTGTTTTGAAGTTGATCTTGGAGGTTGTCCGTTTACACCGCATGTAAGAGTATCTTGATTAATGTATTCAGATTTGACACGAACCAGTTCGAGTGATGTGTCGTCTAAGAGGTCACTTGCGCAACGCTTCAAACATTGCCGCAAACCTTATGGTATGAAATATGATTTACAAACCCAAGGATAAATTTCTTACGATACTGAAAATGGGACAGCGGTTTGAAAATGTCACGAAGCTATCATAGATCACTCAATACCACACCAGATATAGTTCCTTTGAACAAACTTTCTATGTCACATACTCGACTACTAACGTCTATACTTGCATACCAATAAGTGTAACCAAGTGAAAATGTAGGTAATAAAAATACCGCTATTACGCAATTTCTCATGAGCGTGTCAATAAATAACAACTTTTGACACTCCAATAAAAATTTAAGTTATTAACTGATTGCTTAATTACAGATCGATAATTTGACCATCAGCAACAACTATTTATTATGATATATGTAAAAAAAAATCGGTTAAGTTAAGCAGTGAGAACAGTTTGATAAAAAATACCTAATTTATGCAAGTACCTACTCTTGAAGAGATGTAGTTTGATTTTACTATGTACAACTCCGGTTACAATAACCTCTACAGTGTTAATAATAAGTAGATACTTAATTCTAGCTTTGCATGTTTTTGGTTGACAGGAATGAATTATGTCTCTATTTTGCTTTATAAAATCCAAACTCGTAATTTATTTATAGCCTCGTAACATAATGATATTTGAAAGGCGGCGTAGGAAGATACAGTCGCTATAATAGGAGAGCAAGCGAGTTGTGTGTCACCGAGTGACAAATGTCAATTGGCGTTTCTAGCGCTCGAGACCACCAACGAAAAGAACTTTACTGTAGATACAATTTTGGAAATGTCATCAAATCAATGGTGGAAAAGAAAATAAACGAGATTTTGATAATAAAGAAGATTTTACTTACAGCATTTACAGAAAGAATTTAAGACACCTGACAGTTCAGGTAAAATATTGCATAGTAAATTTTCGATGTCGCTTGTTCTTAGTCATCACGAGATGCAACTTGAGACACAATCCCAAAATCGTATAACAAACACAAGAGCACTGTGTATGTAGTAGCGAAGTAATTAGACTAAAATTTACAATAGGATTCGAAAAGAGAAATCTGGAACTACAGAGGAACATGCCAATGTGCTCAGAACAATTTTCTCCCGAGAGTATTGCGACACGAGGCGTCCGGTACTCGCACACGTACACTACGAGCATGCTTACTGGTTCCAGATAATGCAATCTCACTTCCATTGTCATAGGCCACAATGGCAGACTGCGAGCCGCTTTGAATCCGTAATCCCAGTCTCCCTCATTCTATTCTAATACGCATTTAATAGGAGTATGCAGTTACTTTTAAGGCTACGATAAAATCTCCATACGAAATTGGAATAGACCTTACGTTATAGTGAATAGGTTTTTATGCCCGACCACGTATCGCCTACGCGTTAATTTTATAGTTCCGATTAAAATGTACTTCATACTTTATAGCCTTAGGTGCAATCTTCTAAATTATGTGTTAAAATAAAAATATTGCATCAATGGTGTTGACCTAACGATTGAACTCGACCTATAACATTTAGTGATATTAATTCCTGATAGTATGCTCGAGGTGATTCTAACACAAAAGTGTAGTAGTATTCAACCGCGACACAAAAGAGGGGAGTTATAAGATTGAAGTCTATGCCTGCGTATCTGTCTGAGGCATCGTAGCTCCAAATGGACGGATCGATCTTCGAATTTAATAGATATACTTCGTAAGTACGGTCTATAAATATATCTTCAGTTGTTTAAATGTCGTTAGGTCTTTTCTCAACTAGTGTATGGAGATGGTGTTTTTCTTTTACTTTTTGGAGCACACTGTTTTACATTTTAGATTTTTTTAATTTAACAAATATACTAGAATTTGTGAAATCCAGACACGTCTAGGATGATAAAGTCGTCTAGGGAGAAAAGTATAAAATAATCAAGAAATAGTTTTTGTTCGTTGAATGCTTAGAATGCGGAATAATAATGGACGTTGTAATTGTATAGACTCAATATCAGAATCACTTTCTGTTTTAGCTTCAGTCTGTAGAAACAATTAAGTTCTTTCAACATAAACTGCGCTCATTTCATTGTAATTTATCGATGACAACATAAACTTGGCTTTGATCGAAATTGTTTGTAACAGCTTGACGTCTAGACCGAGAAATAACCAGGTTGTGCATCAATTAAAGGTGACGGTGGCAATTGGAGCGTACTTGTTGCGTAAAGAAGACTCATTCATAAACGTGAATATATGCACATATATATTAATATTCTAATATCCACGCATGACATAACATTGATAAATTAAATGAATAAAGAAATGGATGTAGTATGAACCGAATAATTTACTTCGACTGAACTGTTATCAATAATATCTTACAAACAAGGAACATTTTGGTAATCTACTTATCACAAAGAAGTAACTGGTCCCATAACATTATGAATTCAATTTATATTTACGAAAGCTATAAAGAACATAATATTTAATTTCAGTTGCTTCCGGATGTATGTTTTTCTCAATGCCTTAATGATAATTGCCCGTCTGTTTTACAACCGTAAGGAATTCTGGTAGGTTAGTTCCGTATTAAAGTTGAGATTTGATTCGTGTCCCGAGTTCACAGATGAGGGTAACATCAGAACAATGTGGA